CTCCTACTCCTACTACTCTACTACTACTACTACTACTACTACTACTACTACTACTACTACTACTACTACTACTACTACGCCTACGACTACTACCACTACCACTACCACTACCACTACCACTACCACTACCACTACCACTACCACTACTACTCCTACTACTAGTACCACTACTAGTACTACGAGTACTACTACTAGTACTAGTACTACTACTACTACTTCTACTACTACTTCTACTTCTTCTTCTACTACTACTACTACTACTACGACTACTACGACTACTACTACTACTACTACGACTACTACTACTACTACTACTACTACGACTAGTACTACTACTACTACTACTACTACTACTACTACTACTACTACTAACTACTACTACGACTACGACTACGACTACGACTACGACTACGACTACGACGACGACTACGACTACGACTACGACTACGACTACTGCTACTACTACTACTACTACTATTACTACTACTACTACTACTACTACTACTACTACGACTACTACTACTACTACTACTACTACTACTACTACTACTACAAATAATAATGATAATAATACAACTCCCGCATCCACTTCTGACCCAGGCAGAGTTCGCAGTGGTGGGGGACTAGTAATGGTAGCAAGTAAATGGTTGCGCTGGTGGTGGTACTAACACGTATTGATATAGAACTGTAGAAAACAATATCACAGAAATGATCGCAAACATGAAATATCCGTCGTAATAGCCCCACTCGTCGCAATGGCCGTATAACGCGCACTAGCTTTCGCACTAGCGCTAACAATAGTGTCGGTAATAATCGTGGTGGTGGCCATAGTCGCGGTAAGGGTAATCCGCGTGGAGAGAATAATAGCAATAATGGTCAAAGCGATGGCCGTAGTAGGCGATACAGCGCTCGGGCCCTTGAAATGAAGAGGGGGAATGTTTTCGGGAAAAGGAAACCCAGTACCCATACGACCACCACCACCAATGACACGATCACATCCTGATCCAAGCAGGATGGTGCGGGGGTAAATGGGGTAGGAGTAATGGTGGCCGTTGTGACGTTGGTCTAGGTAGAACGTGCCGAAATACCAATACCAGCAACGCCAATGTCATGTCAGAGTAGCAATGGTGGAGCATGGATGCAGTGTCTCTCTACGATATCATTCAGAATGCCACTAACAATTGTGCTGGGCTGGTGGTGTTGTGCTGGGCTGGTGGTGTTGCTTCTGCTGCGAATTCTTCAGATTCACCGAACACGCCTGATTCGCATCGTCCCACCACGACCGCTACTATCACAAATACACTACTTTTACACCATTGCTACTTGCACGAAGAATAGTAGACTTACTCGTACTACTGCGACCCACACTGCTAGTAGAATTCCTGATACTTACACTGGTATCGCTTCTAGAATTGCTATGGCTACGCACCACCACCTGCGCCACAACCACCACCACCGCCATTGGCCCTGACAATATTGCAATGGTGGCAACATGGCCGCTGTAAGGCCTGAGGTGTTGGTGCCATCCTGTTAATATGAAATGGGGGCTTCTTTATGTCCCATCGAGTCCCGGCCGTTCCCAATTCAGATCCAATGAGAATCCTCGAAAACTTAGGTCTCCCCATCCCTATCGGACTCTTCGGAGTCCCACCATATCCAAATCAAATCATTCGAGTATGGATTCTGGTCAGTCCTTATTGCTCCCCGTGAAAGTGTATACGAACCCCTTTGATCCACGGGTCTGCTCCATCCCCACTGGTGCCCACTGAAGGTGTTCGCAGGGCGATTCAGGTTGCCGGATTTCCAACACTACGTACACCACAAGAAGAAACATCAAACAAATCAGCACATACACAACACATGATGCTGTTATAACATTGCGGGCTGCCTGTGTAGTCGCAGGTGTCACCGGTGTCCAACCTCAAAAACGAATGGCTGTGCTATAACAGCATCGAGTTATCCTTGACTTATTACGTTATGTATGAGACATATCGGCAAGAGATGGCGTCTGTACCGCTGCCAGGACCGATCGGGTTTATGTCTCCGCTTGATTACGAACAATTGCAGAACCAAGCGCACAGTATGTTTGCACAACAAAGTAACTGGTTGTTTAGGCTTGATGGGGAAACCAATCCATTCGGTGAACACAGATTCCTCCTGCACTCTTATAACCGTCGGTTTGTGGTTCCGATGCGATCGATTACTCCTGTGTTGTTATAAGGTGTGACGTTCGTGGTGGGAAAACCAGGTTACCAGAATTCCAGCACACCAGAAACATGTAAGAAGCATAACAACACATAGAGCATATTCAACTACCCCACAACTGCGGAAAAAGACAGCATGGCATTCACAGGCTCCACCTTTGTCCAACCGACAGAACGATTGGCTTTGTTGTAAAACATGAAACTTCCTTTTTGGATTGTACGCCCACTTGGAGCCAAGTGGCCCCTGCGCTTGCACAGGGGCCAATGGGGCTTCTAACGGAGTTCTGTTGAAGCCAAATTATACCAAAGAAGATCGCATGCTACGACAACGAAACCAGCGGTTTCGGACATTGGAAACCACAAACACCTTTGAAAACAACGCTTGTTTCCGCAATATGAGAACAATTTCACGTGCTGCATTTGATCATACCAGTTGTGTGTCAAAGTTCCCACGTCCTACGCAAAAGCCAAGTTTCACTGGGGTCCAACCTCAAATAATATGGCTTTGTGATACAAGCATAAACACTTCCTGTTACTTGTGATATTGTGCAAAGTCTTGGTCATGTGTGACCCCCGTGCATGCACAGGGGCCACTGCAGTTTATGATTGCCTTTTTGGTTGGGAACAAATAGGAATCAAAACTTGCTGCGTGTTTTTACACCAAAGCCCATGTATCTTGAGGTTGGGAAAAATACAATGAAACACCTTCCCTCCGCAATCTTATGTCCGTTTTATGTGCCTTATACAATGTTACTGGTAGTTGGTGATCTTTCTAGTGACTAGAATTGTTGGTCGGGCTCGAAATAAGATCGGCTTCGTCCCAACACGCGACAGAGAAGACAATGCACAGAAAAAAACATGATTGAGAAAGACACATAAAACATGTGATTCGACATCCGATACTGAATACTAAGAATGCACAACGTAAGTATGAAACAACTGATTCAATTAGACAAGATAGCATACTCACATCGTTAAAAACACCTATATCTGATCCTTACCCCTCACCCCCCTGGTCACATCACCGTTCGCGCGCGCCGTGTGGGAATCAACCATGCCTCATCGTTCCAAGACGGCGCTGGCGCAAATTGTGACGTGACCGGCCTCCTGCCCCCCCTAGTCACGCCCGTGATCGCCAAGAGATAAAAACAAAAACAGTTTCTTGGATGCCCGAAATGCGTACGGAAAACATGGACACGACGCCCATCATGAGTATCGTTTATCCGATCCCCATCCCCAGCGGCGTGGCCTGGGCCCCACTGGCCGATTAACCCCCCTAGATGGGGATATAGGTCGTTCCCTTCGGGTTTTGAGGGGTATATCCCCAACTGGGGTGGTAATCTGGTGGGGGCCTCGAAGGGGATGGGGATGGGGATGGGGATCCGATAAACGATGCCGACATCAGCAAACGTAGCCCAAATCCGATAGCGGACACGCAGCGACTGCTGCTCAGAGCAGGCAAGGAACGGCTGCCGGTCTCCACCCCTTTCTCTTTCCGTGCCGTGCGGACGCGGCCGCGAACGAGGCCCTCGCAAGAGACCCAACCCTGAACGTCCGCGCGCGAGGTGCAGTCAGGAGACACCAGAATCGAATCGATAAGTCGGATCGGCGATCGAGATGGATCGGATCGGCGGAAATCGGCAGCCGAGTCGGAAAAAGTCGAATCGGCAGAAGTCGGGAGGCTAGTATGCCTCCAATGAGAAGTCGGAACCCAAATCGGAATCCCAAATCGAATCGAATCGGAATCGGAAGCCATCGAAACCGAATCGAATCGAATCGGAGGAATCGAAACGAGCCCTGTGCAGTCTGGAGGGAAACGGGAGTCGCATCGAACGCATCAGCGCCTGAACGCGCAGCGAAGAAACTGAGGGCTCCCTGACGAAAAAAAACTTGATTTCCTGCTGCGCGACCCTAGAGGCTTCCTAGATGGGATCGGAGTAGATGGGGTCGGAGTAGCTGGCGTCGGGGGATCTCGCCGCACGCATCGTCGATACATCGTCGATACATCGGCGACGCTGTCGAAATCCAGCGGCGACACGGGGACGAAGGACATCGGGCTCCACATCGCGCCGCATCGCTGATGCATCGGCGAAACGGCGCGATCCTCCGACCCCATTTACTCCGACCCCATCTGGGAGGCTTTCATTCTTGATGTGCGTTCCTATTGTACTCGGTCCACTGGTACCGAAGCGGGGGCGCGGTCGCGCGCAGGAATGTACTAGTACTGTGCGCCCATGTTGGAGACGCACGTCCAACCCGAATATCTTGTGCAACGTCTCATAGTAGACCGTTCTCCCGAGCGGTATCGAGTGCGCCAAATTTCGCGCTTCGCGCTGCGGGAGGTGCGAAGACCTCCGCGCTCTCGCGCCGCCCCTCACGCGATAGCAGAGGAGGAGGAGGAGGAGAAATCGGCGCCGAACCGCGAGGGTGCGAACAACCTCGCGCCCTCGAGGGTGCCCCTTGGGCAGAGCCAGGAAAACGCACGCCGCGGAACTCATGCAGTGAGCGGCTTGAATCAGGAACCCTCCCTTTTCAGAAGGGGCTCGGTCGTCCCTCAGGCTTGCCCGCGTTATCTACCGCTCCCTATGCGTGATGGATCAGTTAGCGCTCCTTATGCGATGCTCCTTGGAAAGATAAAAAGGGGCCTCGTTCCCTACCTCTCGTTCCTTCGGTCAGGCCCATGACTGTGCCGTAAGACCTCCGAGCCTGCGCGTCGCCCCCCGCGTGGCCGACGCACGCGTGGGCACCCAGCCCGACCGCACCGCAGCGCGGGCGCGCGCGCGCGCTCGCGCGCGCCTCGGGCTCCGCCGCGGCCGGCGCCGCGGCGCCCTCCCAGGCCGACGGCGCCGCGGCGGCCTCGGCGCTGGCGCCCTCCCAGGCCGGCGGCGCCGCGGCGGCCTCGGCGTCCTCCGCCGCGGCGCCGTGCTCGCCGAGGGGCGGCGGCGCCTCCGGGGCCTCCTCGCGCGGCGCAGGGGGGAGCACGAGGGGGAGGAGGGGAGGGCCTGGTTGAGTGTCGTGTATCCGATCCCCATCCCCAGCGGCGTGGCCCGGGCCCCACTGGCCGATTTACTCCCCTGGATGGGAATCTGGGCCGTCCCCTTCGGGTTTCGAGGGGTGTGTCCCCAACTGGGGTGGTAATTTTGGGGATGGGGGTCGGAGAAACGATGCGGATTGGTTGAGGTCAGAGACGCAGGGGGGGGCATGTGGTTTTGTTCACTGTTCAAGATCAGCACGTTGTTTGGTTTGTCGTTTCCGGATTTGGGGGGATTCTCGCTCGCGCGGTGTTCTGTTCGGTTCAAGGTTGGTACCGCTGTTGTTTGTTTTATGTCTTGGGCTGCCGCTTGGGCTGGCCGAACCCGCAAAGCCGAAAACGGAGGGAGAACAAACGCCCCCAGCGCTTGCAACATCCACGAAGGGGGAGGGAGGATGGGGAGGTGCACTCGACCAGGATGGTAAGGATGCGCGGTAAGAGTGCAAGGCCTTGGAACGCCATGAATGCCGAAGGGGAAAGGATGCAGGGGTAGGCCTGTAGAGGAGGAGGAGCAAGCTAGCATCTTTGGGCCCGGCGCGCGGGCGCGAGCGCGCCGGGCCGGGGGGCGCAGCCCCCGCCGTGTGGCTCAGCTGCCGCACGACTTGGCGCACGAGCAGGCCGATGCTGCAGGGAAGCGGGGGGCCCGTCGCCAACGCGCGCCCCTTGGCATTGCCCTGCGCTTCCTCGAAGAGGAGGGATTCAGGGAGGAGGTGAAGGGATGAGGGCACGATAATCCGACCCAGCACTTCAAGGCGTGAAAGGCTTAGCGAGTTTCGTCGTCCACCCCCCCCCTTCCCCCTTCCCCCTGGGTCTGGACGGGGCCTTCTGCGAGGGGTTGGAGCGTCCAATATGGCATCGGCGAGGAAGCCAAAATCACTGATTTGACTCAGGTGTCGGCAACATGTTGGCCTCCATGAGAGGCGCCGCTAATTGAGGAGCCCCCTTCTTTTGATCGACCTCTTCCAAGATGGCCCCACGATGGGCCCCGAGGCTCCTAAGGGTGCCCCGAGACGGCTCAACGAGGTGCATAGGAGGCCCTAAGAGGCCCCACGAGGTCTCCGAGATGCCCCCAAGAAGCTCCGAAGAGAACCCAAACTGCCCCCCTAGTGGCACCTAAGACACCCGAAGAGGCCTCGGCGAGAACGCCAGCATGATTGATTTTTACCCAGGGTTTGGCAACATTTTGGCCTCCTGGGGGGGCCCTAATTAAGGAGCCCTCCTCTTTTGATCGATCTCTTCCAAGATGGCCCCAGGATGAGCGTCCTTAGACGGCCCCATGCGGCCCCAAGGCCCACAACGAGGCCCAAGATGCGTCCGAAGGGTCCCAAGAGACCCCCAAGAGGCCCCTCCAGAGGCACCCAAAACGCCCCAAGACCCTTCGGCGAGGAGGCCAACATCATTCTTATACGGAGGTGTTTGCAATTGTTGGCCTCATGGGGGGAGAGAACAAAACTGAGGGGCCACCCTGTTTTGACCGATCTCTTCCAAGATGGCCCCAAGATGGCCCCCGAGGCTCCCAAAGGTGCCCCATGACGGCCCAAGAGGCGTCCAGGAGGCCTCAAGAGCTCCACGAGGCCCAAGATACGCCAAAGAGGCTCCCAAGATACCCCCAAGAGGCCTCTCAGAGGCACCCAAGGCGCCTCAAGAGGCCGCTGGGAATGCCAAAAGATCCCCAAAACGCCCCCAGAGGACTCCAACAAGCTCGCGAAAGAAATCCGAAGAGACTCCGAGAGGCACCCAGGAGGCATCCAAGAGGCCTCTGACCTTTCTGCTCGCCCTCCTCCTCCTCCTCCTCCTCCTCCTCCTCCTCGTCCTCCTCTTCCCCTAGCCGTTCTGGCTCAGGTGATTCCTGAGCTTGGCGAGGCAAACTTCAGAACGGCCTGCCTCGTCGGGCCAAAGTTTCTACGCGCTTTGCGTTCCAGCTTTCACTGTCCCTCAGCAGCCAGCCGCATGACTGGGGATGGTTCCTTACTCCGAGGTGCTCGTCCACCTCTGTGGTCCTGCTCGCAGTGCTCTCGCACTGCGAACTGGGCTTGCCGTATCAAGTGCCTCTGCGGTGCTGCTGCTCCTGCGCGCGTGGCTCGGGCAGCCCGCAAAAGTGAGACAGAGTGGGGACAGCGGCCAACCCCATCTGCACCTCGGGCGCCGAAGGGAAGGTGGGCTGATGGCGGCCCGTCGACCCCCGACCTGGTCGCCACCATCACCGCGGCGCTCGAAATAGGGCGACGAGATCTATACATATCCACTGCTCCTGGCCAGGAGCAGTGGATATGTATAGATCTCGTCGCCCTATCGAAAGGAAGTTCGATCAGGAGTTCAGGTCGCTCAAGGACCCGAAGGCTGGACAGGCTGCCGGCCAGGCTCCTCCGCCGACTGCTGGCGGCGCTGCTGCGGGTGATGATGAGCAGTCGCGGCGTGGAGCGCGAGTCGAGCCCCTTGAGAAGGCACTCCGACAGCCTGGCGACATCGCCGACGATGGTCCAGCCCAGCAGCGCCTCGAGTCTCGACTTCGAGGCGCTCGCAAGGCACAGGGAGATGCCAAACCCGTGCTGCAGCAGCACGCCAATGTGGCCTTCCGCTTGCAGACTGCGCAGAAGAAGCAGTCCAAGGCTGGCGAGGCTGTCGCCGCCCAGCAGAAGCTCATCGAGGAAGCCCAACGTTCGCTTCATGAGCTTCAGGGGAAGGGGGAGGCCACCAAGCGAGAGGTGGCGGCCTTGCAGGAGGAGCTGCGTCGCACCATGCCGCCTGATGCAGCGCGCCCACCTGCCGAGGTCAAGTTCGAGCTGCCCCCAGAGGTCCTGGAGGCAGGGGGCAATGCTGACGTCAAGGAGCTTATGTCCAACCCCATCTTCGCCAAGTACCAGCAGCTGTTCAAGGCGTCGGTTCCTCCTGCTGCTTCGTCGGATCCTGGCGCTGGTGCAGCGGCAGGGGCAGCAGCAGGACAGCAAGGTGATGCAGGTGGAGCTGCTGATGCACCAATGCCGCAGGCGCCAGCGTATGAAGGTTTATCATCAGAAGAGGTTGATGATCTGCTCAAGCACGTCGGCAGCAAGCGTGCGTTCGAGCAGCAGCTGGAGGCCATGGGCATCAAGCGGGCGAGGACAGCGGCGTCTTCCTGACGCCCCCTTTCTTAGTGGCCTTCCTGTCTCTGCTTCAGGTCATGTCGTTCCTCAGCATAAGGGGCATCGACAGCAGGCTGAAGCTCCAGGACCACAATTATTCGAAAGTTTCAATGGTAATTGCAGGGCCACGCTACTTGAACGGTTGCGTAGTAGTGGCTCTCTGATTCTGTGTGCGCAGGAGATTGGCACAGGTCCTGATGCTGTTCAAGATCTTCAGCGTGCTGCTCGTACGATAGGCAATCGAATGCTATGCAGTCCTTCGCGATGCTGCGCGCACGGTTCTCACTCAACTGGGGTAGCCATTTTTGTTCAGCAGCATCTCGGGCTCAGATGGAATCCCACCGGCGGTGATCTGGTCAAAGGGCGTCTCATCTCAGCAGTTGTGGACATCCCTGCCTGGCCTCCACTGGTGGTATATTCAGCTTACTTTCATGATAGTGTCGGCCTCAATGAGGCCAACATGAATCTGCTCTCTGTGCTTGGTGGGTCGATTTCTCGCTCGACTGGTTCCTTCTTGGCAGGTGCTGACTGGAATGTTGAGCCGTCTACCATCGAGCAGAGTGGGTTTACTCGCAAGGCTGGTTTGATTACGCTTGCTCCAGTTCGCAGTACTTGCATCATGTCGTCGACGTCCAATACGATTGACTTCTTCTTGGCATCTCATGATATTGTTCGAGCAACTGACAAGGTTCGGGTCTTTTCTCAGTGGCATGGAGGGCCACATAAGCCAATTCGACTACTACATCTCCGACCTGATGCAGCTCCGCTAAGGCAACTGGTGTTCTGTGCACATACCCGCTTTCCTGTGCTACCTCCGTTCGGTCCTCGCCCTGAGCCCCGCAGCTATGTGGCAGCGAGGCAGATGGCGGATGAGGCGACATTCTCGGCGGAGTTCGATCCAGTTTCTAAGGCATGGGCACGACTCAACCAAGCTTGGACAGTTTTCTTGCAGGATGCTGAGTTGGAGATTGCAGCAGCTTTAGATTTCCCGATAAAGAAGTTGACGCGGCACCACTACCTTGCTCGCAGATGGGTTCCTGTCTTGGGGCGCAAAGATCATGCTCAAGACCCAGTGCTTGTTGCACGCGGCTGGCAGTGGTTATATCGTGTTTGGCATGAGTTTGAGATAATGGCCAAGGTTGGCAAGGAGCTTCACAATGATCCAGCGGCAACCTCACTCAAGCAAACGGCACTTGTTGAGAATTACCCTGGCGAAGGGCTTGATGTACGGCTGGGCTCACAGGTGTCGGCACTCCGCAGCCTTATTCGAGATTATCCTGCACCGGGCCAATTGGGACTCCACCACCTGGCAGGCCAAAACGAGCAATTGACCACCACCTGGCAGGCCAAAACGAGCACTCTTGGTGGACCTTAGCCACGCAGTATGGTGAGCAGTTGGCCATCGAGTTTGAAGCTGCAACGCAGGAGGCATCGAAGCTACGACAACAGTCCTGGAATGAATGGTGTGACCAGGCCCTGAAAGGCTCGGCTAAGCTCATGCACAAGATCACTCGTTTGCAGAAGGTGTGGTGCCCGACGGTGGTTGAGAAAGCGCCGGGCGTCTTTTCTAGCAGCCCAGAGGCTGTGCTCAACGCGGAGGTCGAGGCGCCCCAGCAGCAGTGGAATGCTTCGTTTACGCCACCGCGTGCACACGTGCCTGATCGCGATTGCCTTCCTCGTGCCACTGCTGAGGAGATTAGAAGTGCATCGCGGAAATTATGTAAGTTCACTTCGTCTACGCTCGACGGCTTCCACCCGAAGCATATGCGTTTGCTTGGCGATGCTGGACTGGAAACTCTGAGCGT